ACAGTCTTTTAATTTGGATTGTTACATTATCCTGAAAATAATATGTTCATGCATTTTATTTGTATATCATTAATAGTTTTATGTTTACTAGTAAGCTAGTAAATATATTTTATATTTTCTAATTTTTATTTTCTTGGTTGAAATTTGTTCAAATAATTCTACACCAGAATGTAAAATAGGGATATATTTTATTCTTTTATCTAGTTTGCCAACGTTGTAGTATTGATTTATATATCTATCTTGGGAAATGACAACTTAATTTCATAATTTAGATTTCTCACACTGTGTTTTTCTATTCTCTAATATTTCTTCATGTTCTTAATTCTGACATTCTGCTTTTGCATGGAGTGATTGATCTGTTAATCCAATCTTTCAACTAAAACAAACCTGTTACTTAAATTCATAGTTAGGTGAATTAAAGGGAAGGGGAAAAAGCTTAAGGCAGATGATGTAATTAATATTAACAGGTCACATAAAACAGAACTGAACTGTACAGCGACTATTTTTCCCTTTCCTCAGAACCGGAACTTGCTGCCTGATAATTGAGCTGTAGTTGGAAAAAGGAAAAACAAATCAAGATAATTAAAGCAGAGAAATGTGAGGAGATAGTAAGTAGTGTAACCGAAAGAAGCTTTTAGGCCTAAACAAAAATAGTTTTCAGGGTATTGAAATTTGAAAAAATGTAATAACTGAATAATGAATTCAAGAAAACATGGAAAATGAGGGAAGTCTGAATGATGGAAAGGTGACTACTCCCCGAACTGAAAAATTTATATTTTAAATTTGATGGCACAACCAGTAGGTTTCAAAACAGGTTATTTCCTGTTTAAACTGATAGATCCAGTGGGAGGTTCAGGTCCTAGTGTAGCTTGAGATTTCATTACATAGTTGATAAGGTGTGCCAGTATTTTATTATCCAGGCTAGAGAAGTGTGTGCTGTGTGAAATTGCAGTTGGATCCTTGACTCATACTATAATAGTCACCCCTAAAGAGTGTCAACTGATGGATTAACATAGGTCTGAAGGGATATGTCCAGTAGAAAGCAACCATGAAAAAATTTTAAGCTGTCTGCCGGTGTCTAAAGAAGGCGTTGTGGCTGTGGCTTGGTACCACATGCGTGTTAGCAGTACGGTGTGCTTACCAAAGGGGTAAAGGTGTTCGTACACAAGTACTGTGGGAGGTGCAGTGTTAGGACTGGAAGTAGGCAGCCCTAGTCCGTCTGCTTACTGCGCATGTCGGAAGGATGTGTGCGGTACGGGGTGTTCCGTTTGAAAAGGGACATACACAATTGGAGTGTGTCTAGATGAGTGGGAGGGTATAAAACCATGTCATCATATAGTTTAGTGAAGAGGACACTCAGATGTTACAGAACTTTTCAAGTATTTGTAGGGCTGTCATGACAGAGGCATTTGACCTATTTTGTGAGCTTTGGAGTGTTGAGTGGGAGGAGTGGGAGAAGTTTTAGGAAAGATTTTGGTTCATTGAAATAAATTTGTGACATTTAAGAACTTCAAGATGTTTAAAACAAATTGTCTTGATCTTGGATATTTTTGGGTTATTGTAGTGGGAATTTTCCTACTAGGTGATTAAACAAATGGTTCTGAACTTTTAGTTCTCTGAACCACTGCTGTAGGTTGATGAAGGTAATGTGGAGTTGAGGGGACATTTGAGCATTCTCATGTAATGTTTGATACAACAAAAGACTTATATGAAACATACTAGTTATGAAACATTGCAGTGTGTCATAAAGGAACACCTGTGAACCTACCAGCTACAAAGGAACTATAGCATCATCCATACCCATGACACGCTTCTGTAGTATTTGGGCTGTGATTATATCAACTTGATATCAACATTAACAAAAGCCCTGATTGCCAGAATTTAACAGAATGAAAAACTTTGGAGACAGAACTTTTTAAAACATGGAAGAAAATAATAAATGGCGTCCTTGCATACTGAGGTTGGACCAGTGGATTAATTGAGTCACTCAGTAAGCAACCTCTAATTATATGAGGTGCAGCCACAGCACAGAAAGGTTAAGTAAGAAACTTGTCTAAAATCACACGAGCAGTTACTGTTAGAACTGGAATCAGAACTTGTTCTAACTCGAGTGTTGTAAATAACATGCCAAGAAGTGCTAACGATTTCCTGGCTAGAAAGTTGCTGGTGATAAAGGGTAGTACTCTGCTGGTAAGACTCCACAATGAATTAGATTGTAAATTCCTTGAGTACTAGAACAGTCTTAGCCATTTTTCGTTCCCATATGTACTGTTTTGTATATAATTTGTGTTCTATTATTAAATTGAGTGATATTTCTTAGAGACTGAAAGAAACATGATAGAAAGACTTCTTTTATCGTAAGAAAAGTGGAATTTATAATTTTATTGTTTGTACTTTTGCTTTATATACTACCTGTCATTAGAAAATGTCAGTGTTTCTTTCCTCTTGACTTCTTTCTTGACCCTAATACCTGCAGTAGAGTTGATAACTCCTGCTTTTGTGCTACCACTGTCTCTATACTGGTAATTTTCATAGGTATCTTATTTGTGTATATACCTTCCATATCAGACCAAGTTGAGAGCTGGAATCATGACTTGTTTAACTTGAATGCCCTAGAATCTAGCCCATTCCTCCCTTCATTCACCCACCCATCTACCCAGTCCATAAGTATTAATTGAGGACCCACTGTGTTCCAGGGATGACTTTAGGAGCTGGGGAGACAGAGTAACAGATTCTCATGGAACTTTCAGTCCTTAATCAGAATCACACAAATGTTTATAGAAATACAACTTAAGTTGTAAATGTATCTTTTCCTCCATTATATCATCTAATTGGATTATGAACGGTGTTTTTGCATATTTATGGTTTTTTTAATCTAGTCATCTGAATTTTCTTATTTATAATTGATTTTCTTGTTTTTTTTTAAGTTTGATAAAACCCTTTACCTGGAAAATCATTATTTTCCCCTTCAAAGACTATTACTGTGGTTACTTGTAGATTTTTAAATATTGAACTAGTTTTACATTCATAGTATATATTCCACTTTGTTTTGGTGCATTATTCTTTTAATATGCTGGTGGAGCCTCTTCATTTAGGATGTTTGCATCTATATTTATAGGCAAATTTTATCTATAGTTTCCTTTTATGCTATTATCAGGTTGCTGTGTCAGTGTTTATTAACTTCATAACAAGAATTGGGCAGTTTCTGAAGAGGAGATTTAAATGTAATAATATTGAAAGTGCTTTTATATAGAGACCGGGACTAAAGGAAAATGTGTATTTAATTATATTAACATTTTGTAATCTACTTTGGTTAATTACTTGCTGTAATTATATAAATTATATAAACAATAATGTTTAAATTATTACTTGGTTGCTGAAAACTTGATTTGAGAATTGCTATTTTATGATAATTTAAGATAAACATTAATTTGATACTGGACATTTTTAGAAAATATTATGAAACTAGAAGTATAAAAAACTTTAAGAATGAGATCTTGTTCTTGTAATGTAGTTAAATCCAAGGTACTTTCTTTTGATTTAAAAAAAATTTTATTTGCTATTCAGAAGTAAACATGGTTATCTTCAACAAGCAAATTGTTGTTTAAGAGAGAAAATGTTATAAAATGAATATTGCCATCATTGAAGCAGAAAATGTATGAGAGTGCAGTATTTTCACAGATTAAGACTTTATAACTGGGTAAGAACACCTTTGATAAGCCTTTTTGTTGTATTGGATTTTATTTAACTGAAAGTGATTTAAATAACTGAAAAAATTAAAGTGTGCATTCATATTTGATAGTTCTTTAATAGCAGTAGATTGAAGTTCCATGATTAGAAGGCATACAAATACATTTTAAAAATGAAAGACATTATATTTTTAAATACTAATGGGCACAACCTTTTTCCCCAAGGAGGATGTAATCTCCAGCATGGATAGATGGTTACAGAGACATCCAGCTAATTTAATAATGACAGCCCTTATTAGTATGTTCCAGTGGGCAGGAGTGTATCATCTAGCACATTGTAGAAGCTTAAAGAAAGAATTAATCAATTTATTTGTACAGGACTTGATTCATTAAAATAGATTTCTTGGGTTTTTTTTTTGGTTTTTTTTTGAAAAGTGTGTTTATACCTGGGATGTCATAATTTTTTTTTTTAAGGTCATTGACTAGGTGTCTCTGCTTTCTTTCTTATATTTTCTTCATTAATCTAATGTAGTTTAATTTCCATTACTGTCTTTTTCTTAAAACTTCTCCGATCACTAATGGCTTAGTGGTCAAATCCAAGGTACCCTTCTTTTGCTCTTTGCTCTACCTTTGTGGTATTTGACACTGTTGATTACCCTCTCCTTGAATCTGTCATTGCTTAGCTTCTTTGATACCTCTTCCCTACTTCTCCTATCTATCACCATTTCTTCATGGTTTGAACCTTCTTTTCGACACCCCTTAAATGTTGCTTTTCCTAAGGTTCTTTCAGCCCTTTTCTCTATACCCTCTTTAAGACACCTCTTTTTATTCCTAAAGCTTTATCCACTATATTTGGGTATGAAACTCAGACTTCCGCTGAACTTAACATCTTGTGTGTCTGTTGGACATCTCTGTTCTGAAGTAGAAGACAGCCTTTGGTGTTAGTTTTTTGTCTGATAAACATTCTTATACTTACTTGACTGAAGCTATCATTTGGAATAATTGGCTTCATTTAGGCATGGAGAAATTAGATAAAATAACAGATCTATATCATAGTGGATAAGAACTTGGGCTCTGAGGTTAATTATAATAATTTATATTATTTGGTATATGAATTTGATTTCTGGTAGAAATTATTTGAGGCTATAGTCCTCTTAAACATAGACTTAATTCAGAGAATGATAGAATAGGCCAACAATTCTTTACTTCTTTGAGTTTTAACACTTTATGAATGAAATCCTCCCCTACCCTCTTTTTTTTATTTTCCTGAATATCTTCGTCTAACACATTTAAAATTTTTACTTTTAACAGAAATTAGCAGAGTACGGAAAGACATGTACAATGACACATTAAATGGCAGTACAGAGAAAAGGAGTGCAGAGTTGCCTGATGCTGTGGGACCTATTGTTCAGTTACAAGAAAAACTTTATGTGCCTGTAAAAGAATACCCAGATGTAAGTATATATCATTGTTTTATTCAATATTTTTTCTGCTTTACATACTTTGGGAAGAGATATATCTGGTGGTAAATACTTAAGCATTGTCAGCTGTTTTTTAAAAAAAAATTTGTGAGCTCTAGAGATGTGAATAATTTGGCGTGGATAACTTAAAGAATTGTCTAAGTATGTTGTCATTTGAATGCTGCTATGTTACTTTTGGAAATGCACATGGTAAAGACTCAGTGTTAGATTCCAAATCGAGGCAATAGTTACATAAAGAGCTTTGGCCTGAATGTTAGATAACCCCAAGGACAACTCTTAGCTCACCTTGGGCCTGACCTCAAAGAAGCCACAGCCTGGGCCCCATCATCTTTTCAGTCAAGTGGGAGGTTGGACTGTGGCAGCTAAGATTCCTTTCGGCTCTAAAATTTCTGTGATAACCACTGTTTGTCATTAATTTTTTGTTCATCTTAGTCTCTTGCTCAACTATCCTGTATAAGCATTTTGTTGCCAGTAGCCTCCTTGTCCTATGCCAGTTAATTTATAGAATAGCTCCAAACTCGTTGCCTTTTATTACAAAGCCCTACATGATACGGTCTTTTCTGTCTCTCTAACCTCATTGTAAATGGTTTCCCCTCTTCCTCAGTACACTGTGTGGTCACATGGGCTCTTAGAACAAGTCAAGTCTGTTCCCAGCCTGAGGACCTTTATGTTAGCTGTACACTGATCCCTACTGGCTGGCTTCTTCTTATCATTAATGTGTAGCTTATGTTGCTTCAGAGAGGCCTCCCCTGACCATTTTATCTAAAAGCAATCTGGTTACTCATTGTTTCATGTAAGTTTCTTTTATTTTTCAGCAATAGCATTTATTATCTGATATTTTTCTTATTTATTTGTTTATTTTTCTTTCTCTCCCCAACAAAATAGAAGGCACTTAAAACGAGAACCTGTTTTTGTTATTAATTGCTGTATTGCAGGCGTGCTAGCATTGGGCGTAGTAGGCATCCACTTACATGTTAATAAATAAAGACAAATTGATGGTTTCTCACCAGGTTTCAGAGGACTTTTCTGAAAGCAAATACAAGAAACAGTTGGTATTGTAAGGCCGAAAAAGTGCTGTGTGTTCTAAGATTCAGTGATCGTGTGGGCAGTCTACTAATCTGGAGAAGGGAAATCAATCTTAAATTAGATAAATGGAAAAAAGCTTTAATATTTCACAAGATGCATTTCCAGTACAATTTTCTATAAATCTAATACAGTTACTGTTTTTGTAAGTATTTTTTCGGTTGCAAATATACAAACATTTCTTGGTAACATAAGCAAAGAAAGAAAATTTTGGAAAATAATTGGGTGTTGTACAAAGGATTAGAGACAGGCCTGAGGGCAGCCCTGAGAACCTCAGTAGGAGTTTGGACCTTCTCTGTTGAGAGCCTTGCTCTTCTTAACGTGATTTGACATCAGTGCCTCCTAGTCTCACTCTGTCTTCAAACTTCAGCATCTTAGGAGAGAGAATGTGTTTTGGACCAATCTGCCATGTCTAAGGGACATGATCTTAACTAGCATAACCTAGATATGACCACTGAGGGTCTTCCCTCATATCAGGATGATTCCTAGAGATGGGCAGCTGTCCTGTTGGAGTCTCCTGTTGTTGGGTGTTTCCTTATCTCCTAAAGGCTGTCAGCCTTCTCATCTGCTTATGTAAACTCTAGAGGATGAAGTTGTAGCACTAGTCATGAGCATAGAATACGTAAGAGAAGACCTTGTTAGAGAATGGAACCTTCGTCGCCCTGCTCCTCATTCTTCTTTCTAAAAAGGCATCAAGTTCTCTAGGTCTCTGGTTCTTAAAATGTGGTCCCAGGACTAGTAACCGCAGCTACTGGGAACTGAATGTTCCAGCCCCACCCAGACTAACTGGATCAGAAGCTGGAGCGGCGAGGCCAGCACCCTGCCTCCCAAGCCTGTAACTGTTCTGATGCACGCGAGGGTGAGAAACACAGCTCTTTTATATTATATCATCGGAATAAGCTGTGTAGAGAGTGAACGAAACAATATCTCTGCTTTTGTGGAGCAGGCATTGCAGTGGCAGAGACAGACAATAAACAAGAGTATTTAGTTTAGGTGCCTTCAGTGCCATGGAAAAAATAAAGTGGGGTTAGCAGATAAATGGTGACTCTTATGTTTATAGTCAAGAAATCGCTTATAAATGAAGGGAACGCAGAGACGTGAGCGGAGTGATGGGGAGGAGGGTGTGAACACCATCTGGGGAAGGACATTACAGGCAGAGGGAACGGCAAGTGCAGTGACTCTGGCATGAGGGTGCTTGGGAAGGGTGGCAGATGTGAGATTGGAGAGCCAGCAGAGGGCCATGTCGTGTAGGGGCTGTGGGCCTTCGGACGGATTGCAGGAACTACTCTGAGTGAGACGGGAAGCTCTTTACATGTTCTGAGCCAAGGAGTGACATGAGCTCAGTTGGGTTTTAATAGATTCATTCTGGCTGCTGTGTGGAGGAAGGCTGTTGGGTGATGGTGGCAGCAAAGAGACCAGCTGGGGAACACAGGAGGAACTTGAACAAGAGGACTTAGAAATGCTCAGATCCTACATATTGTAGATTGTCAACTTAAAGCCAATAGAATTTGCTGAGTGGATAATGGGGTATGGGGAAAAGTCAGGAATAGCTCAAAGGTTTTGATCATATGGAATAACGGAATCCTAAAAGACAGACTCCTAAAGACTGAGGGAGGACTAGGTTAGGAAGGTGGGGGTTCAGCAGCTCTGATTTAGAGGTGTTGAGTTTGAAGTCAGACATCCAGGTGCGGGCATGTCAAATAGGCAGGTGGGTATATGAGTTCTGGACTCTTGGCACCCAAAAATGTCTGTTTTAATGAAGCTATTTAAATGACAAATTTAATTATAATTCATAAGAGGATAGAAATTAACATAAAACTGTTTTGGTCCCCCAGATAATTTTTTTAATACCTTGATTTTAAATTTGTTACAATAATTTTAGTTTGGTGAAATTGGGATCTGCACATAGTTTTAGAGTTTTTCTTCTTTGAGGTTAATACCAAATGAGTAGTACTGTTTACTGGTATATATTAGGAACTTTACTCAGCTTTTAAAAAATTAAATAGTATTAAATAAAACAAGGGAGTCTGTCAGATTTTAGAAGCATGGGAAAAGATTTATTTCAGAATCATGAGTTAGATATTGGCCAAAATGAAACAAATATTATTATTCTTGATTTTCTTCACTTACTGTACCTTAGAGGTCATTACGTAGGCTTCTTTCCTACCTCCCACCCCACATTTGTATGTAAGCTTGACTTTGTGAGTGAGTTCATCCCACTTGACTAAAAAATTTTATTATTATTATTATTATTAAAACTTTTATTATTCAAGTTTCAAAGGGGTAGTGTAGTGGTGAAAAGTGTGGACTCAGGCGCAGACCCCTGGTTGGCTCTGCTATTTTTATTTAATTTTTTTTGGTGTGTGTGACTTTGGGTAAATTATTTGTCATTTCTGGTCCTCAGTGTCCTCATCTTTAATGGAGATAGTAATAGGTTTACTCTTTCACAGAGTTATAAGGAGTTATAAGTATAGTTATAACTTATAGAGTTATAAATGAGTTAATATATGTAAAGCACTTGGAAAACACTTTTTATAAGTATTACCAGAATGTAAGCTCCCTGAGGATAGGCATTTTGTCTCTTTTCATATTCCCACTGCCTAGAATAGTATCTGGTAAATGTTAGATGCACAGTAAATATTTGTTGTGCATATCTGTATGAAAGCCTCACTCTTTGAAATATTCCTAAACTTTTTAGAAAACTTGCTGTCTTTTGCATTTGCATAGCAGCTTATTTATAGAAGTAAGTGTTAATTTGGAGTTATTGTTTTGAGCTTGGCTGTATAGAGCTCTGGAATGATAGAAGAAAGTCTTAGACTTGGTGTTTCAGAAATGAGGCAGTAGTGCTGCAAAGGTCCTTCACAGTGGTTTTGAATAAGCACCTTGACGTGGAAATGAGACGTTATTATCAGTAGCCTATTGAAAATGTACTGAAAATTTCTACAAAATTTATATTAATATTTATATTTATTGATAAAGCAGACGTTAATTGCGTCTCTACTTTGTACTAAGCACATCCTGGGGATGGGGATATGAATTCAGTTGCGAAAACTCAACATAGTGGAGATAATGAGTTCTTGAGCCAGACAGGCCTAGGTTTTGAATCCTGGCTTGCCCTTAGTGGTGGCATCTGTAAACAGGTGCCACAGTAATGCTCCATAATAGGCTACATAAAACTCAGTGTCTTAAAACAGTGCGCATTGATTTCTGTGCTTGAGTCTACTGTGTTGGCTCAGGTTCTGCTGATTGGCTGAGCTGAGGTTGACCAGGTTGCTGTGGGCTGGCTGCAGGCGGCTTAGGGGCAGCGGCTACTGGAGCATTCCCTCTCATGGCAGGTCACCGGAGAGCCACGCCAGATTGCTTACGCCTTGTCCCATTCACTAACGTTCTGTTAGCCCAGTGATTGTCAGCTAGGGAAGTTCTTGGCTCTCCAGGACATTTTACAATATCTGGAGATATTTTTGGTTGGCAAAACTTGCAGGGGTTACTAGTGGCATCTTGTGGGTAGAGGCCAGGGGAGCTGCTAAACACCCTACAATGCACAGAACAGCCCCCCCGAAGAATCCTGCCCAAATGTCAGCAGTGCTGAGGTTGAGAAACCCTGCATTGTCAAGCACTGTCCACAGTGAGGAGACTGAATAAATATTTGCTGAAAAATAATCGAGATTCTCCTGTTGGCTGTGAGCACATGTTAATTTTTTAGAATCTGTTTCTTTGTCTGAAATTTTAAGGTCTATCTCATAGAATTGTTTGAAGGAATAAAGATAACAAATGTATGACATCTGATAGAGCACTCAGTAGTGTGGTTCCTGTGATTGTGAATAAGAAAAAAATCCTACCCTTGAAGGAGCCCACAGTCTTACATGAAAGATAAAAGATATTGCATTAAA